CACCCCTGATTGGCTGTCAGGCACACGTCCCCAATCCCTTGCTGTCACTGCCGACCCTCCCCTGCATGCAGCTGTAGGCTTCCAGACCTGCTTGCCATGGCAGCCCTAGGGGGGGCAGGTGGAGTTGGAAAGGATTCCCCCTACCCCAGACCCACCCCAGCAGTGGTCTGCACAGTGTGGAGGGAGGTCCCCATGGTGGGGGCTTCCTCCCCCAAAGCCTGGCTACATGATCACCTCAACCATGCAGCCCCTGCCAAACCCAACCTCCCAGCTGCTGAGAGGCCAGGTCTGGCATGGGGACAGGTCTGGGACAATTGCCCATTTGGTCTGCAGGGTGGAAAGCCAGGCTGTGGGGGGAAAAGCCCCTGCTGCTGGGGGCCTCCCATGCTGTACAGACCACAACTGGGGGAGGGGGGGCAGGACTGGGGCAGGGGGATCCATTTCCCCCTTGCCAGCCCCACTATGTTCCCCACTGGCTAGGCTGAGTACCAGAAACTTTGCTGCCTCAGATCTGTGATAGCCCAGGGGCAGGGCAGGGCTGGCCTGGCTTGGTCAAAGCAGAGGAGTACTGGTGGATCTGGAACAGAAGTTCAGTAAACCAATCTAACCTAACCTGATTAAATCTTATATTACAGCTATCCAGTTCTATCTTAAATTGGCATTTTGAAAATGGTCTATGCACTGAACTTCTGTTCTGTTACAGGTTTAGACTGGTTTCTGATCACTTATACCAGTTTATATATCATTTCTGTTCTTAGCTTATTAGTGAATTGTGAATAATAGGACACTGAGGCAGTGCCTACATAGTGAACTTACTATGCCCAACAGCAGCAACCTCAAACAAGTTTGCCTGCTTTGGGAGGGTGGCTTTCTAACCTGAAAGGAGTACAACTACATCCAGGTATTGAGACAGGCTAATTAGCACTGTTAAGTGAGGAGTCAATTAGCTTGCTTGTGCTCATCAGCACAGATGTGACTACACTGTAGGCGATATAGGAAACAATTTGCTTGGAGCAGCACTATGGGCGTCTTTACATGTGCTCCGCAGTGGAGGTAGGCGAGTGCTTTAATTAAAGCAGCTTTTGGGAACTGCTTTAATTAAAGAGCCCAAAGCTTCTCATGTATTCAGCATCCCGCACTTCAAAATAATAAGGGCATTTTAACTAAAGTTTGTTTGACATGTTTTAGTTAAAGTGCCCCCATTTTGAAGCATTCAGACACTGAATACATGAGATCCCAAGGCTGTTGAAGCATGCTAATTAGCATGCTCCAGTAGAGTCGATTAATCAAAGCTGCTTTGATGCATGCTAATTAGCATGCATCAGAGCAGATATTGGGTATGTCTATAGATGCCCTATGTGTTTAAGGGCACTGCTGCCAAGTGCAGTCTACCAAGTAGACATGGCCTGTGTTGAAGTGCAGAGCTCTCCTGCCAACTCACCATAGGCTATATTAAAACCACGTTATAGCGCAAGCTGTCACTGTTAAATTGTGCTGTCAGGTTGATGCAGTTAATTCAAACCAGAATATAGAGCAGGATGGGAATACATTTTCCAAATGTAGCAAAATATGATTAAGGTGCTCCTTAAGAGAAACCTTAAGAACAGGCAAACCTAGGGTGAAATTTATGTTATTTTTTTTCATTTGAGTTATAGGGAAGGGGTTAAATTAGATGAGAACTCATAACATACAGTCCTGTAAAGTACCATATTTTCTTGTATATCATACACCTGCAAACAAGACATATATCTTGTTTTAGGGAAGGCAGCATGAAGAAAAAAAGATTTTTTCCCCCCCAACAGTTATGGATGCATAGAGCTGAGACAGAGCCTAATCTTTAGCTCATTCACCCTCACTTACTTCCCCGCTCAGGCAAAAAGCTCTAGAGTTTTAACTCTTTCACATCTGTCAGCAGCTCATGGCTGCTTAGCCAAAAGCTGAAATTGTAGTTGTTGCTGAAGATTGAACTCCATAGGCAGATCCAGGGTTTTGAAAAGAGTTAAACATAGTCTTCAGGGTTGTGAGATAAGAGCAAAGAAACTAAACAGCAACATTTCTGAACAAAGGATTAGTGGAACACGAAGATCATTAAAAAGAAGAAAGAGTCATTAATATCTGTGGAATCAAGAGCACTTAGTAGGAGTCAGGTACATTTTCATGAACCATGAAGTCAGTTGACTCCTTGGACACTGCCTGAATAGAAATGCCAGTGGAAAGTTTGCTTTAAGCTTTGGGTAGACCGGAATCAAAGTGGCCCAACCACATCCCTGTGCCCTCCCTTTAGACCTGCCCCTGCTACACTGTCTCTCCTTCCATGAAGCTGCTGGATGGAAGAGAAGCAATAGCCATCTTGCAGGATAGCCATGCTTCTATTCTCAACATAAAATCAGTTTTCCCTCGTCAGGTTCATACCCCAATTTTGGAACACTGATATTTGAAGGAAAGGTGCATGTGGTATGCAAGTAAATATGGTATATAGAAGGCAATCACCTTGTTCACAAGAACTACAACATTTATACCAAAGTATCTGAATTTGTGTATAAGTTCTGTCTTTCAAAAGGTTATATTAAAGGCCAGATCCAAAAGGGTGTGCAAGTGCTTTAATTACTTTAATTAAATTAATTACTTTAATTATAATTAAAGGATATCTTTAGATATATAACTGAATTAAAAATAATGAGAATTTAGGCTCCCTAAAAAGCGGGGGTTACCCTTCTGGATCCAAATACCCTTCTGGATCTGACTTTTGCAAATCCCATGTATTTAGATATTAAATGTATGTCTTGGTAATAAATTGTATTAGTGCTACAAAAGCAGGTTACCAATTTATATATAATTAAAGGAAGCATTGACCTTTTATTTTTAATCTTTGGTATTTAAACCTTTTGGTCCTGACTCCAAACTCACTGAAGTGTATGCAAATGTTCTCACTAACTTTAATGGGCTTTAGATCAGATCTGAAATCTTTAATTTTATCTTTCTAACCACTAACATATTAACACAGTTTCCAGTTCACTCACAGGGCTTGTATATGCAAGCCCCCTTAGGAAAATTAATCCAAATGGACTTTTACAATGAATCACTTAAACTGCATTAAATTACTGTGTGGACACTGACATTCAAAAGTGGACTTGATTTGATTTAGCTTAATTCATTTTCAAAGTAAACTAAGCTAAATTGAATCAATTCATTGTGAAACTAATTGTGTGCAAGAGTGTCCACACAAGGGTTAACAGTGGTTTAACTAATTCACCTTAAAAATCCACCCATTTGTTAATTCGGGTTAGTTATCCTAAGCTTCTGTATGTCAACAACCCATCAAAACAGTTGCTTGATTTTTTTAATAGATAAATGGAATAAAAATACAGAATTACTGCAAAACAGTTATGTATCCAATATTCATGTTCAAATTTAGACAAAATACTAAATATGAAGAACTTGGGCACACAAATTTATGCCAGGATAAAAGGAGAGCAGGGCTTCACAGTACATCAGTCTTTTTGCAATAACTGCCTGTGTCCAGCGGTAAATTAAAATGAACCTGGATACTTTAGACTTCAGTGAAAGAGAAGTAAGCTATTACAGATTGGCATTCATTTGCTGTGGAGTGAGAATATGCACACGGCATTGCTGCATAGCAGTTTATGCACTGTAAAATCCCACCCTTCTTTACCTCGTAACAACTTGTTCATATATCTTAAGACAGTCAAAGTTTCAGCACTTGCCGAAACAGAGAGGTTACTGCAGAGTCAGCTACAGTGCAAATTTAGAGCATGGTTACTACTCAGAACTAACTACTATGGAGACTATATTAGGGCATGTGTACATGTGGACTAATCAGCACCACTGAGAGATAATGCCAATTAGCCCATCTCTCAAGCTAACTAGTTCACCTGTGATACCCCACACATATGGCTATATGGTTTCTGGTTCAGGAGGTGGCCCACTATTTCTATTGTGTACAAATAGCATTAGTGTGCAGTAACTATGAGGTAGCTTGCTTTGATTTCTAAGTGGAGAAAGGCTTACTACAGAGTAGGTCACGCACTGAAAATTTACACCCTGTATTAGTTTTTGCTAACTTCCCCAACCCTTGGATATATGAGTTTTACTTGTGAGGACTAATTTTAGGTATGAAACCAGAGGATGTCTAGTATATCAACTCAATCCCTTACTTTGTAGGAAATGGTATGAACTCTTGAGGTCCGGGAAAGAAAAAAAAATATATTAGTGATTTAATGCTGAGTTCTGATAAAAGAAAAAACAAAGAATCCCTAATATATATTATTCTGGGGTGATCATTATTACTGAAAATCACAACTGTCATAGGAAATGTTCTTTTTATTAATCTACATTTCTTTTTTTTTTTTTTTAAGAAGGGCATTATGTGTTGTTTTTCTCCTCAATATCTGTTAAAGATTAATTGAACCATAAGGATGTAATCAAACCACCAAATTCAGAGGCATGATCCCAGCAACTAACAGCATTTTATAAAATGAATTACTTGTGTGGTAAGCTGTTGCCAGAATACTTAAACCCTTATAATATCTGCAATGTAGACATAGTCTGAAATACATTTGGCGACTGAATGATTAGAAGATATAATACCTGGAGGTCATCTATATTCTTATTTTCCTTAATTATAAAGTTATAGTAGTTTAAAACTACTGTCCTTCATTGATCTGCCATTTGTCCCTTTTCCAGCCGTTTTCTCACTCTCTTTTGTGGTAGCTGTCATCTTGTGCATTGTTAAACAGGAAAAACAAGATATTGTGCTTAGTGCTTTTAAGTAAAAGTGCAGATTAAAGAACTTAATAAAGTAACATATCCCCTTACATTTCAGGAGCAGGCAAACAAAAACCTTCCCCCTTCTCTATCAGTGTGAAAGAATAAATAATCTTTGAGAAAATATTCCACATAAACATACATTTATGTGAGTGCAGTATGAAATATTGCACAGGTGGTTATTAATCATTTTTGATAAACTGAGTAGAACTTACTTGCTATTTTTGCAGCTTTGGAAACCTTCTCTGTAAGGAAAAAAATACATGTAATGGAGATTCAAATTGCAAGGTAATAATACAATTTAATAGTAACAGCCAATCTGCACCTATTAATACAGACTTGCAATAAATTCATCCGAAGGAATTGCTGAGGTTTTCAAGTGGTGATGGTTATTTGCCCTTGAATATCTTCTGGTGATAATGTGATTAAAATAAACCTTTGTATGAAGGAAAATAACTAAGAAATCATATTGTTATTAGCACTTTAGGAAGAAAGGATAAATGTGTTTGAAAAATGCTTTCTTCCAAAAAAAAAGCAAGTAGCTTACTATATTCATATATACGATTTTTGCTGTCACTGTTCAAGATAACTTAAGTTCTCCCTGAAACAATCCTTTTGAGTAGATAGCAAACATGAAGGTTTTCATGCCAAAGAAATTTAAGATCTCTAGTGATTCTAAAACATATGTATATGAGACTTTTGGTTGTCTTTGCTTAGGATATAGAATGAAGTTAACATTCCATGGTTAAATATACATATTCACCTATAAATAATAATCCTCTTGGGAAACATATTCCTCCAATTTAATAATATGTATAGTCAACAACTTAATCAATTTACAATAAATATACATTACTTCTCTCATTATATTGTGCTTTTGACCCCTTAATTCTCCCTCAGTACTCCCTCTATTCATTGTTACATCATTTGAATATCTATGGACTAAAACGCTAGTATAATAAAAGTATCAACCATCTCAATCAATGCTATTGACTGTAATATTCCCAGGTATTCACTGTGCAGCATCCACTGGACTACAATGCCCATTATGCAAACTGCCAGAATTATCTATATTATATTCCCGTTAATTTAAATTAGGAGTGTCCTGCCCTGGGATAGATCTCAACTACAGGGCTCCTTGCAGGTCAGATTCAGCCCAGGGTGCAGGGCAACTTTGGTGATGGTAGCAGCTCTAGGTCCTGCTGTGTTCTACTGGAACCGGAACTGCATTGGCAGCATTCATGGCAGTGATAGCTCTGGCTCTAGCTCTGGCATGGGGCACGGAGCTGCAGCAGTGGCAGGGCCTTTGGCTAAGGAGGTAGTACCACTTTGATGGAGACAGGCAACGTGGGTGGAAAACAACTGGAGCTGACAACTATGTCCACCAGGGCTCAAGTGCTCTGGATTCTGTGCCAGGTCACTCCCTTGACTATGCTCCCCAACTTCTGGTGGTCCATCAGTAACCCAGTGGGCCAGATCCAGCCTGCAAGCCACTTAGACACCCCTAGTTTAAACTCAAGTGTCAGTTCATATAGAGCAGTATCCTCTAGCATTGGGATGGTGCTAACTCCAAGTTGGATATGAAGGGCTCCTATTGTGGAAATTCTGACTGTAGATATGGGTCTGGATTTCCCTACTATAGTTCCAAATATACTTGAACCTTTTTGGAAGACCAGATATGCTGAACTAACTCTGATTTTCACGCCCATATTTAGTCATAGAAGGGTATGTCTACACGTAACATTGCTATAGCACCATGCTTTAGTACTTCCTTTTTGGTAGTACTAAAAACACAGTGCAGTACAGGTGGTTACTGCACCATGGACATGGTGCATGGTTAGATTTCACCACTATATTACTGTAGTGGCACGCTGTACCTGGGTAGTGCGCTGCTATGCCAACGTAGCTGCTATGCCAACGTAGCTGGTGATTGTGTGTAGATACACACAATAGCTACGTCGCCGTAGCACACCATATGGTGATGTATCTCATTACTGCATCGCCATGGGTGTAGACATGCATGTAGTGTCTTAAATAACTGAAGGGCAGGTTACAGAGGAATACCAGTTAATCCCTACAGCAGACATCAATATTACTGTTTTAAATCACATTTAAATACTGAATGTGCTAAAATTCAGGCTGTATACAGATGTCTAATTCTTTATTTTTCTTTATGTGTATGCCTTGTTATACTAAGAAGAGGTTGGATTAAAATTCAATTCCAATATCACTTGAATCTGTCAAGTTTTTGAAAGTGAAAGAATGATTTGCTCTTTACATTTACTTAATAAGTTAATCATGCCTTAAGGGGTCTCCTGGATACATGTTCACTCAATTCCTAGCATCATAAAAAGAGAAATAAGCTACAGAGTTATTTGACAAAATATGTGGATTAACTCTGTAGCTGCTTCCTATCATGCCATTTATTGAACATGTGACCAGGGCCCCCTGTTGCTGGGAGCTCCATCAACAAATGCAAATGCAAATGCTGATGCTCCATAAGCATCCCCAGCTGGGGGCAGGGGACATGTGTACTCCCAAGCCTGTGAGCTCCTAGATCATGCTGGCTCCCAACCACAGGAGCACCATCAGCTGACAGGTCTTCTAGCTGCAGAGTTGCCCCATGCACCCCCAAGGCTGGGGTACCACAACTGATGTGGTGTCCCAGTCATGGGGATACATGAAGCATAAAGCACCCCTGCAGCTGGGAGAACATGTCAGTTTTGATGCGCCAGTTCTGGGAGTGCATGAAGCTGTGGTATCCACGCTGTGGGGATCCATGTGACAACCCCATGGCTGGAAGGCCTGTCAGCTGATGGGGTTCCAACTGCAGGAGCTTGCAGGGGGAGCCCAATCAGGGAGAGCCCAGGATTGGGCTCCCCCTGCACTGGCAGTAAGGTTTGATGGGATCTGATTCGTGATCCCCACAGTCATGCCTCATGCTATTCACGTCACACATATAGAGGGGCTCTTGTAATCAAACAAAATAATTAGATGTTCAAGCTTTTTGCTAATTCTAAGATTTACGATCTGAAGAAAATCATAAGAGAATAATCCATCCTAAGGTAGCAAAGCAGATATGCATGGGCTTACTTTAAACTGATGAGGCATTAATGGAAGTCTGTGTGCCAGTATTTTATGTGCTTAATTTTAATTTGCCTTTTCTTTTCCTTAATGCTTGATTTGTCCCCAGTTGAATTGCAAATATACATTTTTTCTTAGAACTGAAAATATATGTGAACTTTATATATAATACATACAGATATATAATGATAATGTATGCCATTCTAATTTTCTGATTTCATTGAAACAAAAACCCAGAAAAATTGTATAAAAAAAGGTAAATTTCAGCCAAATACTGCTCTCAGTTGTTGAACTCAGCAAGGTTACATCACTGTGACTCATAGAAGCATCTAGCCCCACCTTTTCTACATTAAGCAGATAGAACTGTGTAGTGAGATCAAAGGGTGAGATCCTTGACTGGAATGAGTCATCACAGCTCCAGTAAAATCACATACACTGATTTATACCAGTTGAGCATCTGGTTGTTTTATTTTATATCTGTCATAAACCAGGATAAAAACAGAGGAACAACTGATAACGTGCCATAGGGAGATCACCTATTGAAACATCCTAGCTCAATTTGCTTTCTTGTTTATTTTTCAGGATGGTTCTCTCTCATTCACTTGTGTTATTGCACAGATTTCCCATGAGGACCATATGCATCTCTAAATGCATTTTGAACTACATGGCAAACCAGTTGTCTATAACAAATAGCTGAAAAGATGTTTAAAAAGTTAAGAAAGTGATGCAAGGTGACACAATCCAAACACATTGGTCACCAATAATTTATGAGTCGTCTTCTACCAGGTTGCCCTTAAGGGAAGTCCCACAAACTTTAACACATCTTGTGAATATGAAATGCTTGGTAGCTTGAACTCCCTTAAAACTATGAAGAAATATTGATTACCTGTTGTCAGGTTGTGATGTCGCTGAGTTTCTTTTACTGTTGAGGCTTCTAAAGGAAACAAAGCAGGGGTTAGGCTAATTTTAGTTTCAAAATTAAGTTTTTGTATTTCACGAAAACACACAATGTTAGAATTTGAATTGAGCAACACTTAGCAATGTATATAAGCCCCAACATGTGACTTTTCAGTTAAAAACCTTAAAATGAAAATACCAAACCAAGGAAGACCGCAAAACAAAAGGCTCCTGATTATTATCTTAACAAACCTGCTTTATTAGTAGATTATTAATTACAAATGTTTTGTATTTTTTGTATGTGTGTGTATACTCACTTTACAAAATTTGGATGATTATTAGGTGTGGCTTTACCTCTGATTTTGTGGGATCAGTTTTTGCAGGTCTGGCTGTGGTTGGGCTTTCCAGATCTGTATTTCTATGAAAAATGATCTCTTTTAACCAATATTCAGAACTATAAATTAGTCTCCCTCTGTGTGCTGCTTTTATGTTTTTCTTGGGCCATAGTTCCACTTATTATTTCACTGGACATAACATTAATCATCATAGTAAATGCTACTTACTGTAGGAAAATAATAAAACAGGGTTTGGTTCAACCTACAGAGACCAAACAGCTTAGCCAGCACATATGTGACCAGGAAATGTATTATATACATGATAACTATCTCTATTTGTGAACATATTTTTCTCAAAATATACAGGTCAGCAATAAAAAATATCCCTCCCACTGGGGAGATAGACTCTGCTAGTTCTTAACAGGTTGGTCCAGTAGGAAGCATTATCATAGCCTGGCTAGACACCACTAAATCAACTCTTACATGGATCCAATGACTGGGACTCGTGTGCTGATGCAGGGACAGATTCAACGTTATTTAGACACAAATATCTTATTTAAGTACCTAAATACTATTTGATTAGCTAAACAGGAATTAGGAACCAGGCAAATTAGATGCCTGAACGGAACTTAGGGGCTAGGGACAGACATTCAAAAAGCCTGAGCCTGAATTGATTCAATCTTTACAGGTTAGTTTAACCTAGCTAGACTGAACTGATTTGAACTACACAGACATCTCTTTGCAGGCATATGCCTGCAGTGGCTAAGGCTAGAAGCCTGGGGGGTGCTAGAGCAGTCCTCCCTTCCCTTTCATACTGCTGAGCAGAAGGCGGTAGGAGGGGAGATGTGGCTAGGACTCGCTGATTAGGGAGGAGTGTAAACCCCAACCCTGCCTGCAGAGTCCCAGACTCACTGCTCAAGGGATGAGGAGTGTTGCTAGACCCTGCATCTGCTGATGATACCGAGCTTTTCAATCTCCCTCTCCCTGCTTCTTTAGACTGTCTGCAAACCAGGTCATTTCTAACACCATTCTATAACCCCTCTTGCAAACTGACATATTGCAGCTAGCAGGTTGCTTTTTAGAAGAAAGTTTATCAGCCCATCAATCTCTACAAAAGAAAACATCTCTCTCATTAGCTTCAAGCTCTTCTTATCTGCAGGATGCATTTGCAAGCCACTAGCTATCTGCCCTTTGTTCCAGTAAAATTGAAGACCAAATACAGGCACCTCTCAGGAGGTAGCTAGCATGGGGATTAGGGGTTGTCTAAAGCCATGGACAGACATGCTGTCTGAAGCACTCTAAACAGTTAGAGTACCAATGAAGTCTTAAAAATTAGCCCAAGTACTTAAAACACAACTTTAAAAAAAGGAGGAATATTTATGAAACACTTTATTTTGAAGCATTTCCTGAAACATCTGTACCTTAACACATGCTATAGGGGGTTGTTCAATCCTCCAGCAGCCTTCAGTGGTCTACTTCCCTACCCCTATGGGGACTAAGGGAGGAGAGAGCATAACAGACAGCCAATGAACACTTTCCTTTGTGATCAGCTATCTTTGAGAACCTCTAGAGATTGGAGGTCAAGAGGCATTGCAAGTATAGAATACTCTGGCTCCAGCACCAACAAAGTACCATAGATATCAGAGTTCATTTGGCACTTCCTGTTTGGACTATAAAGTTCCCAGGCTCCTACAATTGGGTTTCCATGGTAGGTGCCTAACTTCTGCATAAGCTATTTTGCCATTCAGATACAAGAAAGAGCTGGTAGAGGAAACTGGCAGGCATGGAGAATGCACACCAAGAGCACTGCATTCAGTACAAAGTGCAGCAGCTATGGTCACTTTTACTCAAAAACATAGACAGAGTAGGAAAAACAGTTTATATATACTTAGGATGTGGGAGACCCTCCTCAACTTGAAAAGAATTTTAACTCAGAAGAGTGCCCTAACCACCAGACTATAGAATAGCTGGAGGACACTTTCCTGTTGAATCTAGGCCATACATGTAAGGCTCATGGATGAGAAAGAGCAAATAAGGAAACTGATCATTTGGTCCCTACTGCAAGGTTATTTAAATTTTTTATCAAGCAACTGTTTAATGTAAAATGGATAAAAAGCATTCAGAGTAGGGCTTGGACCTAAGTCACCCTCCTCTTTCTCCAAGTGCCACACCTACTAGATTACAGAATCAGGCTCTTTCTTGAATCCTTTGTCCCTCTGTGGCTCAATTACTCATGCATTCTTGGTTGCGCAGTAGTCAGCTTCAACAGGAAGCTGGATGAGTTTGTCCTCATCCACACAATTCTACCAGCTAGAGGTTATGGCTCTCTCCTTCAAGATGCGAGTCTGAGGCTTGCCTAGCTGGGGAGATCTACATTCTAGGTTTCTTACTTCCTGAGCAAATGCTCTAGACACTAGTCAAGGTATACAACAGGTATAGAGTGACACTACTACCATCAACACAATGAGAATGTGAACTCAATTGATTTAGTTATCTACTTTTAGGAACAATTCCTCTGGATCCTGAGTGGAGAAGCCACTCAAGTTTCAGAGAGGGGCAGGAGTTCACATACACCTCTGTTCTTAGGATTATTTCTTGGCTAGCTTTATTTGGCTTTCTGCTTAGTGCCAAGGATTGGGTGAATCACACTTCAGAGGCATTTAGCTCTTTCCATTGACTGTATGTGGGACCTGGAACCTAGTTCTGTTTCTTTGAATCACCCTTTTGGGGATAAGCACCAAATTTTTAAGCACCCTGGGTATGTCTACATGTTCATTAATGCACCATAGTTATGGCACATTAAGTTTAGTACTTGGATAGCCAAGTACTAAATCAATGCTCAGTAACTCATGCTACTGTGCAGTAGCACTGGTGCATGGGTTTTTAGTGATGCTTATTGCACAGTAGCTTAATACTACTATGCAGTAACAAATCAGCATGGTTTTTGCCTGACATGATACTGTGCAGTGTTATTAGGTTACTGCACAGTTCACATCTCATGTAGACGTGCCTCCTGAAGCACAAGTTGGAAGTACCTAATGGTCTAATCTAGCTTTTGCCTTTAGTAACTAAATACCTTTTTGGCATCTAATCCTTCCTGCTCATACACAAGAATGCCACATGGAGTCCAAATACACAGGATACAGCTGCAATTCTTGAGTTTTAATCTGACTTCCATGTATTGGAAAGAACTAACAAAAACCTAGAAGTCAGGATATTTGTGGGTGATACCTTTTATTGGGCCAGCTGCATGATTCGGATGGACTTAGACAAGGCTTCAAAAACAGTGCATTCTCTCTCAGTTCTGAGAAAAAAACCCCAAAAACTGCTGTACCCTCTCTCATTGCTGCTTTCACAGCCCTTGTTTACCTTTAGCTTTTTCCTCTTTCAGGTGTTTTTTCTCTACTGTTTTTTCTGTTCAGAAAAGAGAAACATAGCATACTTTAGAGAACAGCCAGATCCAGGGGTGCTCAAACTATTAATTTTACCCTTCAGCTGAAATTTGCTGAAAACTATCAGAGATTTTCAAGGCAAAACTTTCAGATATGTTTTTCAAACAATAACACAAGCACAAGTTGTAATAGCCATACCAATGATAACAGAATACTGCAGCATTACAGTGGCTTTTTTTTCATAATCACTGATATATTCACAGTCACACACATAGAAACACTTCTCTAATAATAAGCGCTTACCTTTTTTTTCTTTTGCAGCTTGTTCTGTGTTTTTCTGGGCTAAAAAGATTTGCAAAGAAACATCATTAAATGCAAGGCCTGGAAAATATGGGGCCCTATTTTAGGCACTTAAATGTCTAAACTCCATTAGTCTTCCTGGAGTTACATTAGCATTGAATGGCCCAATACAATATAAACTATAGGTCCACTACACTATATGCTCACTTAATTAAGCTTTATAACAAGTATTCTTTTATTAGTTTGACATTTGTGTATTCCCTTCTGCAACATCCCCTTCCTAGTCCCTCTCAGAATAAAGCCAGCAAGCTGTGGCACTAGTGAGCTAAGCACACTGAGATGAACAAATTTGCTTCAGGTGTCTGCACCAGTCCTGCATTCCCTGTTGAGTACAGCAGGGACCTGGCAATCTGCCTTAGAATTGTTCATTTACATACTATATGACCCAACCAGCTGGAATAAAGGTTCACTCAATGTCTTCTGCTGTATGTGTTACCTGATTAGCACTGAGCAGGCTGGTGTTAATCACCTCTAACGCACCCCAATACACACTCAAATAAATAAATAAACAAACAGCAAAAAAAATCAGTTCTTCAGGTCAGATGCTTGGCTGAAATAAATTAGCTTTGCTTTAAAGACTTCAGTGAAGCAACACTGATTTATGGCAGCTGAGGTTGCAAGATTGCATGTTCACTAGTTCTTTCTTTTTGACATTTCAGATATGTATCATATTTACCTGCAACTGTGATTTCAGCTGCTGGTTCTTCAGGACAAAAATCAGAAATTAAATTGAAAAAAAAAAGATCAAACACAATATCATTTTTCTTTCTTTTTTCCCTCCAGAAATTGACAGTTTTGATACATCTTAACCTTCAACTGCAAATTCTCCACAGGATATTAGTTTGCAAAGAAATGAATTCTTACAACACAAATGAAAGATGCAAGCTCTGTTCTTTAAAGTAGTATAATCCAACAAGCGGTGGTTTCTGCAAATGCAGTTATTCTGCCAATCAAAGCTTTTCAGGCTCACGAATATTTAAACAGAGTTCTTTTCAGATAAGCATTCAAGGGTAAAGCTGTTTTTTTTTTCACATGAAGCATGTTCAATGTAAATTTTCACTCCTGGTATGCTACTGCCCATATATCCTCAGGGTTTTGACATTGGTCTGTTATCTAACCTTGGACAAATGGCTTCAGTTCTCTGTGTCTGTTTCCTCTATGCATCTGTCTGACCAGTCATTTTAGACTGTAAGCAATTTGGAGTTAGAAATATTTCTTATTATGTGTTTGTACAGTGTGTAGCAAATGTGACCCTGTTTCATTTTTTGTCTATGGGTACAAATAATAAATATGGTGGGCCACCTACAACTGTCTGTGGCTGTGCAGGGGTTGATGGAGCTCCGGAGATGCTCCTGTCCTTCTCTAGTTGGGCTGCATGGGCAACTGGGTGCAGATGGGGATAGTGGCAGTGGAAGCAGTGGGAAGGTTCCTTTCCCTGCTCCCGCTCCCAGCCTGCCTGGGAACACATGAGGATATTGGGCAAGGAGAAGGAACCTGTGCACTGCTGTCACTGCTCCCCCTGGTTGAGCCTGGCCTTCACGAATTTAATCGTTCTTAAATTCTGTGGACCACTATTGTCATTTCTCATTGACCACCCTGCCTCTTTATCACCAAACCTTTAACAGAAAAGGGGAAGAGTGGTCTTAATTTTAAATTAATTCACAGATCACCAGTGGTCCACAGTCTAACTTTTAGGAACCACTGGTATTGGGCATTCTGGAGTAGGGATCTCTTCTACTGAAGCTGTTCCTCATTTTATAAATAACTTAAATATTCATTGTAGAAGGGATGGGAGCCAATATCTCCCAGATGAATGCCCTAACCACCAGGATATGGAGTCATGTTCTTTCTCTCCCAGTGAACATTTACTTATTTGACTTCGTATTTACTTATTTTACAATAATTTTACAATTTCAACAGGAGAAATGAGACAGATCCAAACAGAATACCCTAAGGACTCACTTTCGTGAGTGGTACAATACCTCACGTTTCTTTAGGTTGCTCCTATATCCTACCTATGCATTCTAATGAATGAGCTTTTGGGTTGGATTAGGCGGGAACCATCATTTTCTTTTTTTGCAGAACATGCACCAAACTCCAGTAGAGGGTTCAGTGCCATGAATCCCAAATAGAGGAGCCCCTAGCTTTCTTTGTGGGGTTTTGCTTAGGCCTTACTCCTTAGGATTTCTTGGATACTGAAGTGATCAGCATTTAATCCCTGTTTAGACATTCTACCCACGAATTGTGTAAGTCAGGATACCTAACTAGTAGTTAAGGAAATAGCTTGCCAAAAATCATGCCGCTGTGTTCTCCGTTGCTTATTCAGAGATCCTTCTGTTCCCATTCTACTTGGATCCCCAGCTAAGCTACTTCTCTCCTTTGGCTTTTGAACTATAAATTGGTTTGATTACTTGACCGGGTCATACCTGGGAGGTATATAAAGGAGATGTAAACTGCTTTTGTGGTTTTTCTCACTTTTACCACTGGTAAAGTTCCTGGCTAGACTACCATAATGCATACACACTTAGAAAAGCTGGGAGTTGAAACCTTCTAGTGTTGTTAAATATTCTGAATATGTTCAGAGGAATTGCACCCCGTGGTTGGGAGTTTTATCACTGAATTCTGTAGGAGCACAGTTGACCAATGCTTTTGAAAATTCCCAGCATAAATGTTCTATCCTGTTGCATGTCAGACATTTTATATAATTAAAACAATTGCTTCTTATATATGGAGTAAATGCTACCAGCTTTGTCTTCTTGTCAAGATAGCTAGTCATACTTTGACAGTCATTAAAATAGTCATTATGTAAGAAATGTCTTTTAGAGTTGATTAAAGCCTCCTGTTTTACAAATGATTAATTCCTTTCTCAGGAATTGCTACTCATTAAATTGAAAATAAGGAAAATAGAATCGTTTTCTAATTCCTTTAATGGCCAAGTGCTAATTAATTTTGTTGATCGCTATGCACACGCATATATATATATAATTTGGGGTACTTCAAATTTAGCCTTTAATTTCTATTTATAGTCTGCCTTTCACATAATGAGCCAAATTCTGTGCTGATTTATACCCCATCCAATGATTCAAATGTGGTTGTATAGCATATAAATTGGGAAGGAATTTTACTCAATATGCATGTACACATTTACTTTGTTACACCTGAACTCCCAAGACCATTACCATTGATTATTCAGTATCCATGGTTTCACAGCGCATATTGATTTGCACAACTTTTCTCTCCTTGCTACTATGATGTGTACATACATTAATGAAAAATATCTGAAGTGAAGCCACAGAGAGTATGCATTGCTACCCCAAATTAAATGCTCTCCTTTGAGTGAAAAGATCATTTTAAACCCATCAGTATTCATGTCATATCAAATATGTCTATAAAGCTGATCTAGAAAATCTTTAGCTAGATCAACTCAGGAATTATTGGTCAGCATAAACAGTATAGCTAAAATATTTTGTTACACAACTGGGTTCCTGTTTGACAATAATTTTCTTTTAATTAAAAATGATTTATCAAGATCTATGTGAGTGCTTTATGCAATAAATTGTAGGTGCAAGGAAGCTGGTGTATGTATTTTCCTATACAGGTTACTTTACCATATTTTAGCTATCATTTGTTTTTGGCATATATTACAGTAGAAATGGACAATTGGTAGGGATTAATTCTTGTGAAGAAGGCTTGAGCAAATATCTGCTTTTGACTATGATTTTGTAGTACAAGACAGTGTACCAAAAAAATTCTCATATAGGCAGGTTGTCACAGACAGCACAATCTGCCATTATATAGATCTAGTGGCTGTAATATCCTGAACAAACATATACAACAGACCTGAGGAAAGCAAGGGGGAAAAAGTCATCAAACGGTTTCCTGGTAAATATTATGTATTCAATTAAAAACACAACTACTAAAAGTATTGCTACAGTCGTGTATTTGCATCATGGAAATTGTATTTTGAGTATTCCACGCCCCTATCCTTACCTTTTATAAGCATAAACACAAACTTTTATTGATATTATTATTGCTATTTTATCATAAGATGAAAATATGAAATATGTACTTTCCTGACATAATTAACATTGATCCTAATTTGGCTTAACCTACGCAAACTCACATTCTCCCCATCAAAGACACTGTCGCATAATCCTTACCAGGAATTTTCTGATGAGAATTTCCCTTTCAACTTCCACTGAATCTCACTTTTAATATATTTCATTGTCTACTATTTTATGGAATATTAGGTAGAATTAAAAACAACTTTGTATTAAAAGTAAGCCAGCAAAGTTCAATAAATTATATACATATTCTTTTAACTTACTTATGATAACTCACTCATTTATTCTGATTAATCTATACATTAGTATGCAAAGAAACCTGGTGGCCACACCCAAACACAGGCAATTGTAAAAAGTAAAACTGAAAACCAGTTTAGTGTGTTAGCTACAACTTTGAAATATTTTATCATGAATAACTTCTGCATGGTAAGATGTTGTTAAGCAGAATAATGAAAATTGTAAAGCACCTGTAATATCAAAAAGGAGAATAATGTCCATACAGGTAACAGAATTTAAAAAACAGAGACCAAATTAAGACACTATGCATCTAAAAGACAGGTTCAGGATTGGCAAGAAAAATACTATGATACATACTTGCTGTTGCTTTTGATTTGTCTGTGAAGTAAGAAGTTATAATAACATTCAGGTGATGGGAGAGGGAAGCATGATATTTTTTTGCAGAGAATGACTTTGTTTATTTTCTAATACAGCCGAAGTATCTTTTTTATTGATGTATGTATTGGTACTAATATATTTATAATTCTTATTAATTATAATGCAAACTTTAAGATCTGATGAAAATTGCAGTAGAGGAACTCTATAAACAATTATTATTATTAATAACAATCTTACTTCTATACAGTTTTCATGCTGAAGTCCAGAATAGACTAACATTTTTTCCTATTTGTGGAAACATTTCACAGTGCAACTGCACTGCACTTCTACAGTAAATATATTTTATATACTGTATAGTATTGCTGCATATTAATTGAATATTCAGCCATTTATTTGAACCTGTGTGATTGAACAGCCCAGTATATAATATATGTACCTAGCTACTCTTGAGGAAAATGTAATTGTTTGTGGTCCTGAGGAAATGAACTTTTGACATCAAATATAACATACAATGAAATCTAAATTAATGGCATAATGGTACCCAGGATACTTAGTAAGTGAAAGTATTTAAGACAAACAGACACAAGTCTTTTGATTTTGCTGGCATAATTCTGTTGCTGGCATAACCCTTGACTTTGGTTAAGTTAAGGAAGCAAGAGTTGGTTATTTGAAAAAAACAGACAGAAGTATTCTAAGGATGTACTGCAATATAATGACTATAAGACTACTCTATATAATGACTATAACACATTAGCATCACAGTATATTTGGCATTTTGCGTGTTCTGACATTTGTCATAATCATAAACAATGCAATCATTTATCTACATTTATCTGCAATTACATTTATCTACACAGCAGATTCAAATCTAATGAAATTCAAAACATAGTAGTACCTACCTGCTTTTGTTTGTAGAACTTTTTCATGTTTGACACCTTCATGCACTACACAAAAGTAGCACCACAAAAAAAGTTGTCAATCATTGTGTGTGTGTGAGAGAGAGAGTGTTTAATTTTTTAATAAGAAAGGTTAGTATATTTTTTTTAAAGAATAAACATTTATCTTATATTGTTCATGCTGTTATTGCTAGAAGAAAATAAAATGACCAGCCTCTAACAGATTATTTATTATGGAACCTGCAGTATGGAAGCAATGCTTAGTTATATGCCCCCTTGTTGCACATATATAGCAGCTGTAATATTACCACGAGTTACACATGTACAACAAGTGATAAGACAACCCAGGACTATGAAGATTCAAAGCTTATGCATCAAAAACAACATGGGGTAATTTTTTAAAGCAATTTCAGAATTTTGAACACATAACACAATCACATCAGTAGCTGAAAGCTATTAGTAATTATGAATTCTCAAAAGGAGGAGTACTAAGCAAACTCAACATTTTTTAACCTAGTAATTATGTTTCCAAGTTAGAGATACATGAGCTGAAATCCAGAATACATCTCACTAAACCTGACTAGATTATATGTCACTATGGAAAGTAAGAGGAATAGTGCTACTTCAGAGGTAATGCAAGGGGTGTTCTTTTTCTCTCCTTTTTTTTTTTAAATCAGTTTTCATAATAATTACTAATCTTTGTAGAGTTCCCTGGATTTTTGCTGGCAATAGGAAAGGCAATGAGACTGATTTAAAAACACAAAGGACTAGCATTGCACAATTTATAGGAAATGAGCAGACTGGCTTAAAAGGAAATTATAACAATAAAGGAATTTCAACAACAGGTCTCGTTTTGCAATAACAGCTAGGATAAATACATCCATGCAGGGGCCAGAATAACTCTTTTAGCAGAAGAATCAAGTGAGTAATATGCTAGACATTATTTCCTTCTCTGAGGATCTCATCATTGTCAAACAATCTGAGAGTAGAAGGAAGTGCTTAAAGGGGAACTGTAAAGCAGTGATAGAAAGAAATACAATTCATTACTGAAATAAGGGTAATTGCATCTGTCCTACAACTGTTGAAGTGAATCATAGAACTTCAAGTGAATGATTCCACAGAACAATACATTCTGGGAAATGCGTAGCAAACCAAGATATGAAGGGGATTTCACACAGATGCCAGTTTTCTAGTGAGGCCTTCTTCTTGTGCAAGCAATCTTTTGGGGTTGGGAGCATTTATGGGGTTAACTCAATGTTCATTTTGTATCTACCTTTACAGACTGAGGGAAAGAATTATGTAGAAATTCAGCAAATATACTACATATTGGGTGTGTCTACATGTGCCCCTAACTGCACATTACCCACTGGTACTGCGCAGTCCAGGTGGTGCATGGGTTGTTTTTGACACTACTGTGCAATAGCGGTGGAGTCACGGTTAGTGCCTGCCGACGCTACATCACTGTAGTGATGAGCTATGGTGCCGTAGTTCATCGCTAAGCAATGTAGCGTCTCGTGTAGACATGCCCAGTAAGTTAATTCCACTCTTAGTTACATTTTATCTCTCTTTTGAGTAAGAGGAAATTTTGTTCTGTTTGTCATTTTTTCCATGTTTTTTATTTGAATACTGGTGTTCCCTCAACTCCAATTGACTGTTAATGATGCCTTTAAATAAGTATGCTCCTTTGTAACTCCTTTGTTAATATCTGCATTGATATTTGTGAATATGGACAAAGTAAATTGAATTGTGTGCTAAACCATCTGATTATGGACAATGGAATGAGCTATGATAAACAAAGATATTCAAGCAAAGGAATGGCAGAGATGTACAATGGCAGAGAGAAAACAAGGTAGCTTTAAGCAAAACTAAAAACGACCAATATAGAGCTTGTATTTGTTAATACTAAACTAGTCACACATATCCAGCTTATTACAAGATTTAACCTTATCAAGGTATGTATCATATACCTGCTGGCTTTGGCTTGACTACAGAGGATATAAAAAAGGTAAATCATAATATTTAGAGATAAAGAATGAAGATAAACTGTAGCTTTTTACTTCCAGATGTTCAAATCCTGGCTTTTTCTCCTTTTGTATATTATGCTCTCTTTCTTAGCTCAACCCTCTGATTTTCTTCACGTGTAAAGATGCATAAGTAGTAAATCACTGTAGGCTAGATTTAGAGAGGTAAGTGCTGAACTGCTTATATCTCTACACGTCCCATCAGCTGCATAACTTTTAGTTTAAGTCACTCTTAAAATAATCTTATAGTACCATGACATTTACACATTTACTCACAACAATTGAAAATCATAGGAATATTGTGAGGTATTAAAGTTAGTATGTGTTAAGAGAGAACCCTTGCCTACAAGGGAACAACTCTGCAATGCCATGAGGACATTTAACATGTGCTAACTGCTTAAATGTACATCTGCTCACATTTTAACTGAATGCAATGCGTACTAACTTTAACAAGTCACAACATTCCAATAATTTGCAACCATTGCAAGTGAGTGTGTGACACTCAGTTGGATGCACAATGGCTTTAGTACTTCTCCTGCTTCACTGTATATATATCAGGTGTAATTCTAAAGAAGGCTTTTTTTCTATATGGGGTACGAAGCTAATAGAGTACTACAGCTGGTTAAGATTTTGAAATAACTGTTTCCGCTCATGATGAACCAACTTGGAAATGTTGGAGTTCATGATTGGGTTGGATAAGCATAAAAAATTGGATTATCCAATCAACTGAAACTTATGTTGGAGTTCTCACAAGAATGGACTTCCATGTATCTGGTACTTCTGTTTCCAATCACAGAGCTATATACACAAGAAGACTTGCCATGGTATTCTCATTTCCAATTTTGTTCAGAAACCAAAATGATACATTATTATTTATAGTAATACATATAATTTAATAGCTAATAATTAACCATTGATAGTGAATGTGACTATTAATCCTTAAGTGATTATTATCTATAATTAATGCTACACACATTTTATATCACAATCTCATGGCATCACTGTCTATGAGTTCATACAATCATAGGAAAGTAGGGCTGGAAGGGACCTCAGGGACATCTAGTCCAGCCCCTTACTCAAGGAAGGATCATTTGTGACTAAACCATCCCATTCAAGTGTCTGTCTAACCTGCTTTAGGTCCTTGGCAGATATTCAATTAAAGGCATGATGGGATCTGACCTCTGATCACAATAGTCACACCTCCTGCCATGCTACATGTGCATAGTAGAAGGACCAGACTGCAGTCATGCCCTATTGCCAATGCAGGAGGAGCCTGCAATCATGAACCAAGGATACCCCTGCACTGGCAGGCAGCAAGCCAGCTTCCCAGTGCATCCAGCTTGGAGCACCAGTCAGCCAATCAGCATTCCCAGTCTCAGGAGTGCACCAGAGAAAATGGCTCTGATACACTTTGGAGGCTAAGAAAGCTGGTCGTCTCATGGCAGCTCCCAGCTTTGGAAATATATTAGAGTGAAGGGCTCCAGTGCACTTTCAAGACAGGAAGTTCTGACTGGCACTTCCAGCCTCAGAAGCACACTGGAGTGAAGGTTGGGATCTCCAATCAGCTGATCTGTCAGGCCACATGTTCATGTTAAGGAGTGATGGAAACCAGCTACAAAGTTATTAGATGTGTTTTGTGTAATACATTTATGACTTATTCCTTGTTTTACTGTGCCATCCATTTCCCGAAGGTATGGCCAGTTTAATTAACTAGTTAATCACATCTTAAATATAACATCTGCCAGGGGCCTCAGAACATTCAAAGATGGTGATGGAGATTATCTAGGTAAAGAGTTGGAAAGCAATGAGTCTGGTTAATGTCCACTGGTGAATAATGGTAAGGAACCAGTCATAATTACCAGGAAGGAAAGAAAGTTCAATTTGAAAACTTCTCCAGTGGACATTAACAGTGGCAAGGTTGCAACTATAGACTGTGAGATCTTCCACATGGGTCATAGCTAAATAAATATTTCCATATCAGTAAATGTGAGATTTAATCAAAGGTCTTATTGTAGTCTGTAGAATTCCTAGGGGTTTTCTTTCTTATATTATTAATATTAGTGCTACTATTACTATTATTATTATAACTATTACTTCTTACTGCTGCTATCACCATTATTGACACTATAATATCTAAAAGAACTGATTGTGGATCACAACCCACAGGCTTAAAATCTAAGTCGGTACTATACACAATTGACTCTGAAATACACTGTCTCTCTCTAAAACAAAACAAAACAAAACAAAACAAAACAAAACAAAACACACGTATACTCATGGGGACTGTCTGGATCAAATATCACAAGTTACATATTTCAAAATTATTCTAAGCAATTATGCAAATGCAGTACTTTAATGTTGATCTAGAACAGTAGTAAAAAAATATAAATCTAGGAAGGATGATGTCCTACCTGATTTTTCAGTGGGAGATGATTTTTTGTGTTTGGTTTTCTCCTCTGTATTAAGTAAAAGGTACACCAGTTACACATATCACAGTGACCAAATAAATGCCTCTTTCAGTATCATTATTTCATTGTAGTACCATAAAATAGCTAGATTTCTAATGAGTTTGGGCTACCTGATTCAATCAAATTTCATTGTAGAGTCACTTATTTGGCCTTAAATCTTAGTTTAAAATCTAGAAAAAAAGCAACACACTTGATAGTGTCTTCCAACTGGCTACTTTTCCAACAAATGTCTTCTAACAACTTAATCAGAACAATTTTGGGATATCCACACCATAATCCAAGCACTTAGACAACAAAACTCTTGTCTTTGCTGCCAAGCTGCTGCAAAACATATCCCACCAACCTACTCCTGTTCTGTGTGCTCCAAATCCTGGAAATGAGGCAAGGCAACCACCACAGGGCACCTCTAAGAATGTGTCTAGAGATACTCCTAATAGAAAAGTGAAAATGCCCTCAGCTATAGGTCACCCCCTTCCTGAGACTCCCAATACATGTGTGCAAGTATTCTCTGGACTTGTGCACTGTGAGGCGTACTGTGGAGGGTG